CTTTTCACATCGCACATACACATGCCTTCATATTATCTATCTCCCATTCCATCCAAGTCTACATTGACTAGTTTCACACCTCACACAAATCACCATCTAATCAATCAACCAACTAAACGAAAGTAAGAAAGAACTTAAAGTAGATAAAGAAAGAGAAGTGAGGTATCTCATTAATAAACATCCCAATCAAATCTTTCCGAGAGAGGAGTCCTCATCCAAATCTCAAATCTCACCCATCTATCTCAGTAAAGTACAGCTAGACCATTACCAAAAGCTCCTCGCCACACTCTTGTAAGACTTTTGCTAGTGAGAAACGCCCGACTCCTTTTTTTCATACATATACTCATTCATATTCGTACACACATATCCATGACGCCATACCAAAATATACTCTCGCTCTCCCACCTATCCTCTGGAGGAATCCTATATCTAAGTATCAGTAGCGGTGTCTAATCCCCTTTTCGCATGTCCATGTCCATGACCATGCCCGTGTCCGACACTTCTAGCCGCCATCTCCCTTGCCCTCTTTTCCGCATTCCCAGCAGCCTGTGCACTCTCATGAATAGATTTCCTCTGTTCCATCACCTTCGCCCTAACCTCTTCCATAGCACTTCCCCTCTCCTCTTTCAATCTTCTTCCCCTATCTCTCCTTCCCTTGTCCATTTCCAAAGCCTTCGTCTCATCTTCTGCAACTCTCCAGTTGCGACCGCGCATTCCACTTTCTCCCCACATACTGACGCGTTGAACTTTCTTGAGTTTGGAGATTCCGTAGAACCACACGATGGCGGCGAATATTCCACACCAGCCTGATACGCCCAAGAAACCAAGGTCGGATTCTTCGATATGGTTCTTTAAATTCATGCCGTATAGAGCAGCAATGAATGCGCCGGAACCCATACCAAGCGTTCCAATGGATATTTTGAGCTCGAGAAGCATGAGGGAGTTGCGATTTGCATCGAGGATGGCTTTGACACTGTAGATATGTGGATTAGTACTTGTGTGGTGGGAGGGGAATGGGCGTTCTATAATCATACATTTCTTCAGTGTTCCTGATGTTAGAAACTAAATTTCCAGACTCTTGAACAATTTCGTCGCAAAGTTTGTGGTAAGATTCCAACAACATTTCGACTTCTGTATGATCATCCTCCCCTCTCTTCAGATCATGGTCTTTCTCGGTAAGATACATAGCAGCTAGGTCGTCATCTGCCTCCAATAACTCATCTATCGAGTCCCTGACCAATTTCGCCTTCTGTTCGAATGTACCGAGTTTCTTGGAATAAATAAGGAGGTAGCGGAGCTTGTCTCGGTCGATATCCTCTTCTAACTCCTTCAAAACCCTGACAACTGGTTCTCGAACCGTTTCAAATTCCTTTTCCAAGCCAGATGTAACCGATATGAGGACAGCTTCGAGGGCGCGAAATTCGTATGGAAGGGCACCGGCAGATGCAGAAGTTTGCTTTTGGCTGAGCTTTCCTTCTAAATCATACATGAAAAGCGATTGTGTGTAGGTATCAGTAGAGCCATAAGCGTCGAAAATCAAGACTCTATTTGACTTTATGAGGACTCGAAGATGGAGGAGGTTGATGAGGATAGCTGAAGGACGAACGAGGATATGCGGAAGTGTACTCGAGTCGATTTTTCGAAGATCTCGAGGAAGCAGTCCATACTATATGCAAATCAGTATTGACACACTCAGAATGTCTGCGAGGGAAGATGTCCTGTCCCACCTTAGCAATAAGCTCGCTCTTCTTGAACTCCCCATTCACAAGAACCACATTTCCATTCTCATCTAACTCTGTACATCGTAGCCGAGGCTCACTGGCAGCCTTTACAGATACAGATCGTCCCAGACTGAACACGTCTAGTTCTCTTCCATCCTCACTGAGATGTGGTAAATCGTCCGGTTGTAATGGTTTTCCGTCCCTTTTCGAAGACCAAAGCTTGAATGGCCATTTTCTTGCACTCGTGAAGAGTCCGCGACTTGACTGTGAGCGATTCTGAGTCGCAGGTGTCTTGCTCGATAGAGTTGCTCGTTTGGGTTGAGAATCGTTTGAAGAAGAATTCGAGGTGGCCAATCGCGATCCTAAGAATTTCGGATTTTGGAACCCAGCTCCAACGGTCGCTCTACGCTGTAGTGAAGTTGAAAGTGGTCTCCGGCATGACCTCGAAGGATAATTATATCCTAGGCTAGAAGCTGGAACATGAGGGGCATGATCCAAAGAATAACCTTGTCTTGGGTTGGAACTGAAAAAACAAACGCCCTCAGATTGTGCACGCAGAAATCTCAATAAAGATGCTGATGGTACATGGTTGTGTATATTTGACCGCATAGCAGCTGAAAAGAGCTAATCCGACCGTTTACGAGTCACTTGCTGCTTCATGTGCCTTGTTTTGAACTGTTGATGGCGTAAATATATTTCTATCAAAAAAAAAGCTTGGACTATTCAAATATCCAGATCTAAGTATTACCATTGTCACGTGCATTGTTATTTTTCTGTGCTACTTCTTGATTTTCGAATTTGCGTCTGCATCATAAAGCTTTTGAGAGTCGCATATAAATCTGGGTATTGGAAAACATTTGACTATCGAATCTCAACTTAACGTCTAAAGCAATCAAACATTGAATACCGTAAGGAAATCCTCTACCAACCTAACCTTCCTGTTATCATTCTCATGCTCATGACCACTTCTGAAGCGGAAAATCTCTCCGATGATCCAAGGGTAAGGGTCTTGATAAGGAAGGTAGATCATCAGAAGTATGGTCATAAAATGCCTGTTTGGGTCTGCGTTCTCGAGAGTATATTGGAAAATGTCTTCATCGAGTTTATGATTGACGCCAGCATACAGTAAGAGATGTATGACCTCGATTCTACACTCTCGAACGGCATTCTTATAACCGATGATAGCTGCCTAGATTCCTATTAGCCATTACCTTGACACAGATCGTTTTCAGGGGAGTAATACCTCTCCGCTCGTTGACGCGAGCCAATCAATACGTGCTCCTCCCATAACTAACCAAAATAAGAATTTGACGGCTTCCTCATCCCATGGGCCCATTAATAGTGTATGAGGTATCTCAGTACCTCTAGCAACATTTGCATAATTGCGTATACCTAGGTCAAAAATTTGTTCTCTTTTCTCAACCAAACTTGACAATGTTAAACCCATTGTTTCAGAGGCACCCGTTGTATGAGAGACATCCATTCTCTGAAAGGCATTGCAATACTTGGCAAAATCATTGTCAAGTAATTCAGCCGCCGAGGCATTCTTAGGGTCAATACCTTCTAAATCGTCCCCATGGTGAAACGCAATCATCCCAAGAGCAAGCGGAAATGGACGTTCTAGTGCGTATTTCTGAACCCATAAGTCTTGCCCTTGGAGAAGCATCTGCAATTTTGCCCAGCGAAATTTCAAGATAGTAGACTAAGTCCATATCGTCAGTAAAGTCCTGGTCCAACTTTGATATCTAGGCTTACCTGTAGGTTGCTATTGCCACTATAGTCCAAGTCCAAGCTTGGATCTAACAGTTGCCCATACCATTTATCCCAAACTGGACCAAAAGCAGCAATAATAATCTTGTTGTAGACAGCGACACTACTTAGTTTTCCTCCTATGACTGGACTACATGCTGGCAAACTCAAGTTCCAACAGCCGAAGAAAATCTGCTCGAGAATCTCCGTTGGCAATTTCTCAAGTTCCGACATCTTACGTCTCGATTTGATGTTCTTCAAAGTGCGGACTTTTGACTCCCGAAGAATAGAAGTGAAAGACTTTGACGTTTGTGATGCGACCTTTGAGGATTTTTTCTTGAGAGGCCTCCCAGGTGGTCGTTTCTAGAATCCAAAGTTAGTTAAGCTGGTTCAGTTTATTTGATTTTATTATGAAAGTCCATACCATGATCTTTCTGGCCAGAACAGCAGATTTGCTGGAGTCACGAGTATTCTTTCCCGGAACCTTGATCGGTGTTCCAGCCATGATTTGATGATATGCACTGATACTCCATATAGTCCAACATAAAGGATAGAAAATCCCGAGTTAGTTGCAATGGTGTATCATCGGCACATATCTATAGTCCAGCAGGAAATACACACAACAAGATTCACTAAATCATAAAAGCATAAAGTAATGCAATCGCAATCTACATACTAGGTAGGTAGTGAATGAAAGACGAGACCAATCATTTTTTATTTTGCAGCTCACCGCTTTCATTATGCCGGTTTGTCGATAGCGGTGAGAGTCAAATATAATGGCTTGAGATGAGAGTGATGAACATCTTCTGAAGGACGGTATAAATGGCATGTCAATAGTGATTTTGGCGACAGAAGGTTAAAGGGGACGAACTATCCATCGTCATCATAGATCTAACTACTCCTTATACCATCGTCCCGGAACTGGGACGACTTCAAGGACATTCATTGTCTCCGGACTAGCCTAGAACAATCATGATGTCGATATTGGAAGAACTGTTGCTCGGTCATTAGACAACTAGAACAAGATACGATAGAATATGGAAAGCGAAGCTCAAGTATCATCTCCAGTAGCAATTTCCACACTGGAAAAGCACGTTGCTAAAACTACCTAGTATGTTTAAGTTCTTAGTACGAGCACAAAATACCCCGCCCGAGGTCGGGAAAGTTACGCTAAAGTCCCTGCATACATAAGTGCCCGATAGTCTACATCGTGCAGAACGCTATCACACCTCGCACGCCTTGTGCACCCTACCACTCATCCACCGGAAAAATATCTGGCTTTCAAAATATTGTAGTTTGTAGAATCATCTTTGTATTAACTTGATCATTAATCTTCAAGCGAGGTTGACAGTTCTTCCGCAACCATTCTTTCAATGATCAATTCCGAATACTAAACTAAGCTTAAATAACCACCAATCCGCACCCCATTTGTTGGGTCGAAGATTCCCTTAACTTAAAATCGTTACTTTAGACGATACCACCAAGCAGCAAACAAACAATCGAACCATCAGGTCAAAGAAAGAGTCCCCAATGTCTTCCAATCCTGATCCCAGCTCTCACCCCCTCATCCTAACCCATCCTCCCCCACTCAATCCAGCCTGGGAATCACATATCCCTCATCTCCCAGCGCCTAGTACCTCCACCTCCCCTGATGTCCGCAGATCTGTATACAGTCAAAATTGCATCAATCAAAACACCAGTCTTCTCCGCACTTCTCTTGTTCACCTTACTCAGAACCTCCTCATAACCTCTGCTTCCATCCCTTCACCATCCGGCCACGAGATCCCTACTCGCCTCTACACTCCCACTTCCACCACCAACTCCGCCTCTGTTCCCAATTCAGATTCTCAACCGCTGATCATCTATTTCCACGGCGGCGGTCTTTACGTTGGCGATCTTGATTCCGAAGATCTAACATGTCGTCAATTGTCCCTTTCCCTTTCCCTCCCACTCCTCTCAATATCCTACCGCCTACTCCCCGCTTTCACTGCCGACGATGCTGTCTCCGATGCACTGTCCACTTTCACCCATCTCTGCACTCAATTCCCTTCCCGAAAATTCGTCCTTGTGGGAAGTTCGAGTGGGGGACAACTGGCTGCTACCGTCGCTTTGACTTTCATTCAAAAGGGAGATGGGATTGAGAAAGAAGAAGGAAAGCGGATACTAGGAGTTATCTTGAGATGTCCAGTAGCATGCGATGCTACTGATAACGGGACAAGTATTCCAGAGGAATGGAAAAGTATACACACGAGTATGAATGAGGAGTTTTATACAGGGATATTAAACAAGCCGGCTGTGACAAGAGAAAATAGAGTCAAGGGGTACAAGATGCCTTTGGAGTTGTTGGCGGAGATGCCGAAGCTTACCAAGACACCCGAGCCTGTTGGAAGCGGCCAAGAAGACGTCAATACAAAATGGTTCATACAGCTTTGTACTAACGATATATATTATTCTGACGGGGTATGTCTTGCGCTTGGGTTGAAGGGGAGAGGACATAGTGTGAAGATCCGAGTAGAATTTGGGTGGCCCCATACGTTTTGGTTGAAGGGGATGGTATTAGAAGAAGCTCAGAAGACCGAAAAGGAACTGATTAAAGGGGCGAAGTGGGTTCTGGATAGACCGGGGGGAGCTGAGCCCAAAGAAGTCCAGGGACAGAAATTTTGGGTGGAATGGAGTGAGGAGGCCAATCTGTGAGGAGAAGGTTTGAATAGGGTATCTCAATATTCGTGGATAATTTAACTCGGTTATGAAACGCTCGTACATTGAATGACACTGATACTTTGCTTTTCCAATTTTCATTTCTCATGACTCCAGGAGTGATGAACATGATATACATGCAGTTCCAACACCTTACAGGTTTACTTTGACGACTTTTTGTAACAACATTCAATCAAAACAATGAAATTCATCAGATCTTCAAGAGATTGAGGAAACAGTTTCATGATTGGCCAACTTGGCACTTAAACGATTAACCACCATGATCTTGCTTCTTCAATCACCGGTCCCTATCTACAATAGTGCGGGTAACAAAGAAAAGGGAAAGTCGAATTTATTCCATCTAAAGCATAGAAAGATCGCCGAATTTCTCCTATAGACATATTAGCAGCCGTATCATTCTAAAAAAAAAAAAATCAGAACTGTGTAATTTCAAACGTACCTTGTAACCTGGAACACCCCAGCGACCCTTGGAAACGAGTTGAGCAGTCTTCTCATCGATGTCTGGGCGAGCAGCAGCAACTTCATCCTATAGGCACACATCACACATTAGCCAACCCCATTTCTTTCCTTTGACTTTCCGCATTCTTTCCTAGAGCTGATACATACCACAGTCAAATCCTCAAATGGTCTAGCCTCCTCGATGTTCTTCAATGTCTTCTCCAAATCCTTCAACTCCAAGTCAACTCTGCCCTTGGTCTCCTCTGCATTCTTGATAGCTTGGGCTTCGAAAGTCTCGATTGCCTTGATTTGTCTGGCTACATCATATGTGGCTGGCTTGAATGTAGAGAAGTGCTTCTCAATTTCGTCGACAATGGCGGTGTTCTTGAGGATCGACTTGTAGTGTGCGAAATCTACTTTGGTAGGTTGCTCAGAGAGAGCTTGAACGCGGCGACGGGCATCTTCGTTGCGCTTCTTGAAGGCTTGGAGGGAGGTCGCGGTGGCTCCCTTGAGTCCGAGGGATTGGGAAACTTTGGCCCAGTCGAGTTTGAGGGCTGCGCTGCGCTGTGAAGGTAGAATGGTTAGTGATTATCCGGACTCATTAAGGGCGAGGGGGTGGAAGTCAGGGCAGAAGTCTTCGGAATTCTTCGGAGGGGTGCAAAGTCTGCACGACAGCGAGGTCTGGGGGATAAAGTTCTGCTGGCGGCTATATGACTTCAATTAAGGAAATTGACTTACTCCGGCTGCCATTGTGAAGGTGTTGATATGATTAGGGAGTGGAGAACTAAGATGTGTTGAATTCGTCGTCAAAAAGCTGCAAGTCTCGGTTCGAGCTAGAAAATACAATATCACGTGATGCTACCACAACTTTCAGCCTGGTGAAAGATCTCCTAATTTACCAGTATTAAACAGAATCTCGATTTTGTTTTCCATTATAATTGTTATTGTTATTTTCCTGAACTCGTATATGTATCAGACGTTTGTTTAGATGGTAACAATTTTGAAGAGATTTCACATTGTCGCGAAGTCACATTTCAAATCGGTGAGTATAAGTAGATGTCTATGTATATAAAGGTGACATGGTTTAAATTGGAGTTTTACTATTTAGCACTCCCAAATTCATCGGGATGTGTGACTGTATGCCCACGTAATACCGTTGCCACGCATTCATAGAAGTCGACCCAGAATAGCAGTACACAAAGATCCAGCTAAGCAAGCTTAGACCTATATGCTTAGAGCCATGATGGAATTGACTATATCGTTGTCATTCTCCTTCAATGCCTTTACAGCCTTGTTGCGCGAAACACTGGCTTGAGTCATGACTAATTCAATATCCTTGTCCTCGAGTCCAGTGGCGTCGACCTCCTCTGTGTCATCCTCTTCCTCTTCCTTCTTCTCCTCGGTGTCAACAGCCTTGCCCTTTCCGTGATCGTGGGAGTGGTCGTGGCTAGAGTGATCGTGGCCGGCGTGATCGTGGGATTCTTGAGCAGCCAATTGTGCGGCAGCAGAAGCTTGAGCTTGGGAGTTAAGGTCCTCAATCTTGGCCTCACCGAAAACACTGGAGAAATTATTAATCCAAAATGTATTTTTGGAGTGCGGGGTAGAAGTTCCTTACATGTAGGTGTTGCTGGTTGGGGACTTGTAAACCTCTGGCTGGTTGATAACAAAGAGGATCTATAACCCGAGATTTGATCAGTAAGAAGTCTTAAGGTTATCCTCAAATATTGTCAAAGCTACCCCGCGTCTTTGAAGCAGCTGCAAAACACCAGCCCTTGGTCGCGAGAGCTTCCTTCATAAATCGTGAACTGACAAACCAACTAAAAGTTGCTTACGTTCTTTGGTCGTCTCAAAGTGACTCTGGTAATACCAGGTACTCTTGTAAGACCGAGCTTAGCAATTGACTTGCGTGCCTTCTTCTCGTTGCGGGAGAAAGCGACTTGGGAACCTGCTGGGATACCAGCTACCTCCTCTCCCTCTGCCTCGGAGTCAGAGCTGTCGGATCCCTCATCCTCTGCGGTAACTTGTTGCTTGGTTGGCTCCTCGTTATCTGGGAGTTCTTCGATACGTGGGTTCGACATGTTGGGTGGTGGTTATGGCTGTACAAAGGGTTGTTAGAAATTTTGATGATATTGTCGTTGTTTTGGTTTTCCGAAATTTTGTGCGTGCGCTAAAGAAATTGGGGGGCAGTTTCCTTGTACGGCGGAAAACTCCACCACAACAAGGCTGATGAACATTGTGAACATAATGGTATTCACTAACCTGACTTTACAAGAAGACGATGATATTAGATATTGGCTTAGAGGATCAAATATTGAGGTTGTCACCATTGCAATTAATTAGGGTTGTGAGAGTTCGCTAAGTATTAGGTAATCAATGTATCTACTCCATCTGGCTGAGATTGGGCTGGGGCAATTCTGGGGGTACAAATTGTTGTAACGACGTCAGACTGGGTCAAGGTGCATTCAATATCATTTATGGTTGTGGAATTATTAGTATCAATATCTGGAATTGTCCGATAAAGCAGTAAAATGGCTCCTAATTCATTGTGCAGGTATAGGTTCCGCATCTCTCATGTCGAGAATATTTCAAAGTTCCAGAACCAAAATCACAATCAAAATAACGCCCAGTATTCAGATCTTGGAGAAAATTGGTTTGGAGGTATTTTTGAAGTCCATATGCTCATTACGCCGGTCAAATTGACGCAGGATACAAAGCTCAGTTAAGAGCAAAGGAACCCATCAACCCTTATGTAGTTTTGCTTGCGCTCCCAAATATTCCATTACCAAATCTATGCCGCGGCGATCTTAGCCCTGGCAACCTTGACTTGGAATCCAGCTCTCTTCCTCAATCTCATAACCTTAAATCGCTCGAAATCTGTCAAAGCAGCTCTCTTGGCTTGCTTCTCACGCTTCTGGGCCCATGGGCTTTGTTGCCACAACTTCTCGATACCGGCCTTCTCCCACTCCTTTTGAACAACACCAGTGCGCGAGGCTCTTGGGAGACCCTTGAGGACGAGAGGTGTGAGGACGACATTGGCGAGGGAAATGGCTTGTCTTGGGACAGCTGCGAGTTTGTCGGTTGCTGGGCCATCGATAAGAGCCTATTTTTTGCATGTCAGTTTTCTTCCTCTTTCCCTCCAACCTTCACCAATTGTACGTACGCGCTTGTGGTCGATGATCTCAACGATCGCGGCAAGCTTGCCATCGTGTGGTCCACCAGTTACGAGGACGACACGGCCGACCTCAACCAGTCTCCAGGAAGATGCTTTGATATCTGCGTCACCCATTGTGAAATCTTCTGAAAAGAGTGTATTAGTTGATTGATTTCTAGAAGTTCAATGAATCGAGTAGATAATTAAGGAAAACGTACGGGGCGTCGTTGGCGAGGATTTGTCGATGTTTAGTTGTCGATTACTTTCAAAAAATCCGAAAATCGAAAAAGTGCGGCATGAGATCTAAGCGAAATGGCCCTAGAGATTTACAAATCATGTGATTAGTCGGCCGCATTTTTGGACTTGTGGGATAAGGCTAGAACCAGATCGACTTAGCGTTCTTTTCGATGGGTTCAAAGCTTTTCCAATGATGGAACTTCAAAAACTTATAAAAAAATTCTCCCAATCAATTTCTTCATCTTTCTTCCATCTCATAACCAACAACCACAACAAAAACACAACAAGTACTGGAGTACTTTATGGCTTGAATTGATTTATTCTTGCTGCAATATGTCTCTTCTTGAGCGATTTCCTGCACACCTACAGGTATAAGGTTCGTACATCAACATTTCTTCAACCTCTTCTTTCTCTACCTAAATGATGAGATAATTTGCGATTGACCTCACTTCGATGGCACCCTCGCCGGGGTCGCTATATCATGCGAGTGGATGAAATTCATTCTTACATATTCTGATTTCCTTTACATTATGATCATTCATATCTTGTTATCATTTTGGTCGAACCTTTGCTAACAGTTCGAAGTTTTAGGAAGTGCCTTCATTGATCATTTTACCATGACCAACTTGCTACACATTTCACCCCGCCAACTAACATAGATCACAACGTTGATCTCGACGTTCACCTCACATGGTATGCTCCAATTCTTCTTCGCACAGCACCCTCCCTATCCTACTATGATTAAGAAAAATGCACTGAAAATACTGAACTCTTCGGAGTCATGAAAATTCAACTTAACCAAGATCTATGAGCACAACAAACTTCCGTTCTTACTACTAGTTGCTTGACTTCTAGAATCTCTTGCTAATCATCTCAAAGCCCAGGACGAACTTTACAACACACATGAAGGATATCAATGGATTGTGCCAAATACCTTTCGAGGCATCGCCGGACTCTCCCAGGCGGTTGGGATCTTGACAGAAGTCACAATCAGTCATGGCTATGCAGATGCTTGGGATGTCGATGGAGGCATCATTAGATAGATTGGTACCTTGGAGATAATCAAATTATATTTACTACTTTACACCTTCACTTCACATGACTGACTAATGTACATCTTTCTCTGCTATACCCTACTGGATACGATCTATTGTTTACGTGCACAATTCATCTCGTTCGCGACAACAGCGTCGACCTGTTGACGTTCTGTCTCCTTCTCGTAGCTCGGTGTGTCCTTATATGGCAGAATCATCACACTGTGTACCTGTGATCCATATCGATAATTTGTCATCAGGCAGTCCTAGCATTTCATTTCATAAGTTACAATCTGAAGATATTCCAACTCACATCTGCTCCTCACATCTATCATCAACTCCGCATCAGCTCCGCCAAACGAAGAATCCTCTCCATATAACATGTCAATCTGATCAATCATGATGACAAGATAATGACAAATTCGTGGACCGCAATCTGACTTCATACCAATCTCAACGTCTCCTTTGTACTATTCTCAAAAAGTCCGCTATCATAACGAGCATCACATGCACCCAAACATTGGCAATCTCTTGTGAGAGTATGATTATATAGGTACTAAACAAACGAAAATCACCCATGGCAAATTGCGATATTCGGTGCCACCAAGAAACAAACAATATTTCTCAGTGCCATTCTTTACGCTGACCTTTTGATGGTTACTTAGGTTGGTGTAGAAGCCGAGCTTTTGTTTCTATTCTGTGCCAAGTACTGTGAGTGAAAGAAAGAGTGGTGTTTGTCGAGTTGGGTTACGACTTTGGATTAGGGTTGTGAAATAACCATCAGATCATATTGCATTACTAGTTCATTTCAATCAACTACATTTCGTAGTATCAGTTATTGTATTTAAGATGGTATAGTATTAAAGAACATTTTGATATCAAGCAATTGACTTGACCATTATATCAAGTCCCCATCCCTACTTTGGGTGCATTCATGATAGATTTGCTCTTGCTGATAGTATCCACAAACGTATTCCATTATCTTTCATGACACTCCCGAAGTCCTCGAAGTTCTTGAGGTCTATTGACAGCTGCTGCCTCCTCCAAGTCTCGATCGAAGTAGAAACGTTTGCGCAGAAATACTACTTCGTCTCTGCATTGTTGTTTCAGAATCGACCACTTTTGTAAGTTCAAAGAGCTCATTGATGAGTTTAGGCTTTTTTTCCCGCAAAGATTTCATAGTTAGCATTAAGAAGAGCTGCATGTTGTAGAGATCCAAACCAGTGCTAGGAAAACTATGCATCTCTTGTTGAAGAGCTGTCTGCTTCTATTTCCACAAGTGTGCACTACTGATGAACATTCTTAATTCCATCAACGGATTTGATAATGAGCTCTTTCTTGGATGCGTTGCCTCAAAAAGGGCTGACTTCCAACCGTAAAGGGCGTACAAGACAGTGAATCAGCTTCATCTCATAAAGTTAATCTAAGTGAAACGGTGATTCATGTTCACTCGTACCC